CCAAGCCCTGGGGACAGCACGGGGTGTGAGGGGTGGTGACATTGGGGTGTCCCCGGGGTGTCCCCGCAGTTCAAGGTGGCCACCAAGCCCTGGGGGGATGAGGGTTGGTGACACTGGGGTGTCCCCGGGGTGTCCCCAGGGTGTCCCCCTCGTGCAGGGTGGCCACCAAGCCCTGGGGGGATGAGGATTGGTAGCACTGGGGTGTCCCCGGGGTGTCCCCGCAGTTCAAGGTGGCCACCAAGCCCTGGGGACAGCATGGGGCGTGAGGGGTGGTGACATTGGGGTGTCCCCGGGGTGTCCCCCTCATGCAGGGTGGCCACCAAGCCCTGGGGGGATGAGGGTTGGTGACACTGGGGTGTCCCCGGGGTGTCCCCAGGGTGTCCCCACAGTTCAGGGTGGCCACCAAGCCCTGTGGAGGTGAGGGTTGGTGACACTGGGGTGTCCCCGGGGTGTCCCCAGGGTGTCCCCCTCATGCAGGGTGGCCACCAAGCCCTGGGGGGATGAGGGTTGGTGACACTGGGGTGTCCCCGGGGTGTCCCCAGGGTGTCCCTCCGGCGCGGGGACAAACCCACCTTGCCGTGGGTCACCACGTTGACCGAGCCCTTCCAGATGATGTACCAGGAGGTGCCTTTGTCACCTTGGCTGAACACTGGGACAGCGCCCGGGAAAAGACGGGGGGGAGGGAAATCCACGATTTTGGGAACGGCCCCGGTGCCCCCAGGCCGGGGACCCCGGGCGCCCCCGGTGACTCACGGACGGTGCCCGCACGCTGGTGCCCCTCGAACATCAGCACGGCCGCCAGCTCCCGCTTCACCTGCGCCAGGGGACAGCGCTGTCACCCGGCTGGGCCAGCGGGGACAGGCAGCGGCGGGGAGGGCCCCAGGGAGGAGCAGGAACATCGGGAGGAGATGCTCGGAAAGGAAGCAAAGGGGTGCAGAAGGATTTGGGGAGGAAGCCAGGACAGGAATCGATGGGCGTCAGGAGGATTTGGGGCCCAGGGGACGTCCCAAACCCGGCGGCTCTCACCGAGTTGGAGAGATGAGCCACGGCTTTGATGTGAAGCAGCTCCTCAAAGATCAGCTCCAGCTCGTCCTGCGTGCGCTGGGCAGGCCTGGGGGGGCCGGGGGCTCAGCGGCTCCCTGCGCCCCCCAGCCGCGCTGATTTTGGGTTCATTTTAGGATCTTTTGGGGTTGGTTTTTGGAGTAGTTTCGGGGCTGCTTTGGGGTGATTTGGGTGTTGGTTCTTGGGTGATTTGGGTTTGACTTTGGGGTTGTTTGGGGGCTGATTTTGGGCTGAATTTGGGGTGATTGCACAGTGATTTTTGGGGCAGTTTGGGGATGGTTTTTGGGGTGATTTTGGCTGATTTTGGGTTTGAATCTGGGCTGATTTGGGATGAATTTGGGGGTGATTTCGGGGTGATTTTGGGGCTGATTTGGGGTCTGTTTTGAGGTTGATTTTGGCTGATTTTGGGGTTGGTTTTTGGAGTAGTTTTGGGGCTGCTTTGGGGTTGATTTTGGGGTGTGTTTTTTGGAGCCCAGCCCCTTTCCCTCCTCGGCTGGCATCGCTGGCTCACCCAGCGCAGCAGCCCCGCGGCTGCTCCAGAGCCCCCAGCAGGGGCCAGGAAGGTTCCAGAAGGTGCAAAAAGGAGCCCCCCGGGGCACTCACGGCTTGCGCAGGGCCATGGAGAGCAGAGCGTCGGGGCCCAGCTGGGCCAGGAACCCCAAAGCCTCCAGCAGCTCCTCGGGGTCCCGCGGCCCCGCGCCGGGCTCGGGGCTCAGCTCCAGCTCGGCGAAGCGATAAAACTGCGTCTCCTTGTCCTGGAAGTGCCACTCCTGCCTCACTGCGGGGCACAGCGGCTGTCAGCTGGGCTCTGCGCCCCCCGAGCCCCCCAGAGCACTCCTGAGACCCCCAGAGCCCCCCCAGCCTCACCGTGCGTCAGGACCCCCCCGTCCAGCAGCACCTGCCCGATGCCCACGGCCTGGCCGCGCGTCTGCACGGCCGCGCCGGCGCCCAGCAGCCAGTCCACCAAGTCCTTCCCCGAGCAGCAGCGCCTGGAGGGGGGGACAGGGGGTGAGAACCCCCCCGGGACAGCACCCCCGGAGCCCCCCGGGGGTCCCCCAGCTCCCGTCGCACCGGTGGTGCCGCAGGTGGTGCTTGTGGTCGCGGATGAGGCCGGGCCGGGAGCTGCTGAGGTGGGCCAAGAGGAGTTTGCCAGCGCGCCGGATCCTCTCCGGGGATGCCTGGGGGTGCCAGGGGGACAATGGGGTCGTGGGTGGGGGGCTGGGGTGTCACCCGTCCCCCCCCCAACTCCAAGCCCTGGCATCGCCGTCACCCACCCCAGCAACGGCCGAGCCCAAGGAGCATCGCGATGGTGCCGGGATGTCGGGGTGCTCCGTCCCTTCACCCCCCCCCCGCCTCCCCAAATTCGGTCCCCGGGGGCTTCCCCGGCCCCCCCACCTGGGTGATGCTGTGGCCGCAGTCCAGGCTGGATTCCGAGTCCAGGAGAGGGGTCTGGGAAAGCAAAGGGGAGGGGGTTGGGGGCTGTGGGGGCTCTGCTGTGTCCCCATCACCCCACACAGCCGGGGGGGGTCTGGCACCCCCAGAGCAGCCCCAGCTCTGCAGCAGGTGAGGGGCAGCACCCAAATCCTGAACCCAGCACCCAAATCCTGAACCCAGCACCCAAATCCAGCAGCCAGATCCTGAACCAGCACCCAAATCCTGAACCCAGCACCTAGATCCTGAACCAGCACCCAAATCCAGCACCCAGATCCTGAACCCAGCACCCAGATCCTGAATCCAGAACCCAAATCCTGAATCCAGCAGCCAAATCCTGAATCCAGAACCCAAATCCAGCACCCAGATCCTGAACCCAGCATCCAATTCGTGAACCCAGCAGCCAAATCCTGAATCCAGCAGCCAAATCCTGAATCCAGCAGCCAAATCCTGACCCCAGCACCAATTTCCTGACCCCAGCACCCATTTCCTGACTCCAGCTCCCCTCTCCAGCTCATTTTTTCCCCTCTCCAGCTCATTTTTCTCCCAGCTGTCTCACTCGGAGATGCTCCAGGTAAAAAAACAAAGGCGCGGAGGGACGAGCCGCGGTCCCCGCGGCCCCGCCCGGACCGGGGGGCAAAGGCCGGGCCCCGGTGCCGGCGCTGCCCGCAGGGACCGGGGCACCCGAGCTCCCTCCTGGCACGGCCCTGGACAAACAAGCCGGGCCCGACCCGTCAGACCAGTTCCCGGCACCGGGAGCGCTCACCCGGCACGGGGCACGGCCGCCCCTCCGCGGGACACCCACCCGCTCGGGGGGCGCCCCCGGGGGGATTCCGGGGTCCCCTCCGGGTATTCCCGGCTCTGGGGGCCCCGCAGCTCCCGGGAGGGCACCCAAAAAGCGGCCGCAGGGATCCCCCCGGGGTCCGCGGGCTCCGGGCGGGGGAGGTTGGAGCGGTCCCAGCGCAGGGGGACGGTCCGGATGGATTTCCAATTAAGGAGGGCAGAAGTTAATTAGCGCAGGAACTAATAAGCGCCGGATCGGCGAGGCTGAGCCTCTCCCCGCTCCCAGCACTCGGCAGCGGGCTCGGGGTGATTCGAGGAGCCGGTGGGAAACGAGCGGCTCTGGGACCGCTGCAGGTCCCGGGGGATTGTGCCACCCGGCCGCGGTGTCACCAAAGCTGGGCCTCAGTGTCCCCGGGCAGGGACACGGTGACTCAGGTGCTCTGCAAACTCTGCCGAGCCCCGTGACGGCCGCGGGGAGCGGGAACCGCTCCGAGCAAATGTTTGCGAACGGAGCCGGAGGCGGCCGGGGCGTGGGGCTGCTCCGGGGACACGGAGGTGGCACCCGTGGGGGCCAGAGGGCCCTGTCACCCGTGGGTGCAGGAGATCTGTGTCACCCCGTGGGGGCCAGAGGGCCCTGTCACCCGTGGGAGCAGGAGATCTGTGTCACCCCGTGGGGGCCAGAGGGCCCTGTCACCCGTGGGTGCAGGAGATCTGTGTCACCCCATGGGTGAAGGATGTTCCTGTCACCCGTGGGTGCAGGAGATCTGTGTCACCCCGTGGGAGCCAGAGGGCCCCGTCACCCGTGGGAGCAGGAGATCCCTTTCACTCAATGGGAGCAGGAGATCTGTGTCACCCCATGGGTGAAGGATGTTCCTGTCACCCGTGGGAGCAGGAGATCTGTGTCACCCCGTGGGGGCCAGATGTACCTGTCACCTGTGGGTACAGGATGTCCCTGGCACCTCTGTGGGAGCACACCTGTGGGTGCAGGAGGTCCCTGTCACCCGTGGGAGCAGGAGATCCGTGTCGGTGCAGTAGGTCCCTGGCACCCCTGGGTGCAGCAGGTTCGTGCCACCCCGCGGGTCCAGGTGTCACCCCGCGGGTCCAGGTGTCACCCCGCGGGTCCCGCTGCCCAGGTCCCCAAGGGCCTCTGCTGTCCCCCGGCAGCGAGCTCTGTCCTTGGGGCACAGAGCCAGGCTGTGCCCCGGGCCACGCTCCAAGGACACCGAGAGAGGCACAAAAACCCCGCTCAAGGATCAGCTTCCTCCTTCCCGGGGGTTCCTCAGAGCCGGGACAGCTCTGGGATCACCCAAACCCTCCCGCTGTCCCCACAGCCCCTCCCTGCAGGGGTCGGGACCGGCAGGACGACCCCGACCCCCCCTCCTTGTCACGGCCTGGCTCCAAGCAGCTTCCTAAGGAGTTGCCTTTTCCATCTTCCTGCCCACGGGCCACGCCGGGATCCTGCCTTTCTCCAGGATTCCGGCAGCGCCGGGCGCCCGGCCAAGGCCGCCGCCGGCCGTTCCGCGCTCGCGGCCGCTTTTGTTTGGGATCCCGAGGAAAACAAGCGCGGCTATTTCGGGCCTCACGGCTCCGGAGAAAGTCCTCGCCCATCCGCAGCCTCCGCAGCCTCCGCAGGCGCGGCCGCCGGCCGGGGCTCGGTGTCCTCCGGGAAGGGGCTCGGCACTCCCGGGAAGGGACTCGGTACCCCCGGGATTGATCTTGGCTCCCCCGGGAAGGGGCTCGGCACTCCTGGGAAGGGGCTCGGTACCCCCGGGATTGATCTCGGCTCCCCCGGGAAGGGGCTCGGTACTCCCGGGATTGATCTCGGCTCCCGGGAAGGGGCTTGGTACCCCCGGGATTGATCTCGGCTCCCGGGAAGGGGCTCGGTACTCCCGGGAAGGGGCTCGGCACTCCCGGGATTGATCTTGGCTCCCCCGGGAAGGGGCTCGGCATTCCTGGGAAGGGGCTCGGTACTCCCGGGATTGATCTTGGCTCCCCCGAGAAGGGGCTCGGTACTCCCGGGAAGGGGCTCGGTACCCCCGGGATTGATCTCGGCTCCCGGGAAGGGGCTCGGTAGCCCCGGGATTGATCTCGGCTCCCGGGAAGGGGCNGGGCTCGGTAGCCCCGGGATTGATCTCGGCTCCCGGGAAGGGGCTCGGTACCCCCGGGATTGATCTCGGCTCCCGGGAAGGGGCTCGGTAGCCCCAGGATTGATCCTGGGACGGGGCTCGGGGACCCGCTCCGGCTCTGCTGTCCTCGCCAGGGACACGGCGGGGGCTGGCCCGCTGGCACTTGTGGCTGGCCCGGTGGCACTTGTGGCTGGCCCGGTGGCACTTGTGGCTGGCACGGTGGCACTTGTCCCGGGGCAAGGACGGAGCCGCCTGGGGACAGCGCTGTGCTTCGGTGCCGGGAGGGATTTGCTGGCGCTGGGATCAGATCCCCCAGGGGGATGAGAAGGAGCCAGGACGCCGGGAGGAGTTTCCAGGACAAGGGACAATAGGTGGCTCCTGAGGCACTGCCCTGCTGCTCACCTGCCCCAGGAACGGCTGTGCTGGACAAATTCCCCCTTTCCCTGCTGGCTCCAGTCCCCTTGATCCCCGGGTGTCCCTGGCAGAGGGGACACTCCTGCCACGCCGCAGGTGCCACTGCTGCCAGGGCTGCTGGGACTGATCCCAGTTTATCCCAGGGATGCTCCAGGCCTGCTGCTCGCCCGGCTTCCCACGCTTAGTGCCCCTCAAAAGCCCTCCCCAAAGTCCATTCCTAAAGGTTTTGGAGAGAAAAATAAATCGGGACCAAGAGGAAAAAGCAAGGAAAGCTCTTATCTGGGAAGGAGCCTCTGTGCTGCACGGAAATGCCCAAAGGGGAGCTATCCCCTAAAATAATTCCACTTTTTTCTTGAAAAGTGTCCCAGGTCAAGCAGCATGGGAAGGGGAAGGACGCAAAGCTCCGGAAGCTCTGCAGGACTCCAGGGTCACCTCCCTGCCTAGAGGGGACAACGAGGGGCCAGGAGCAGGGCCCGGGACCCCCGGGACCCCCCAGCTCCCGGGGCCAGCGGGGAGGACGTGATGCCGGGGGATGAATCCCTGCAGTGGGAGCTGGGGAACGCTCCCGGGAATGTCCCCCTGGGAATGTCCCCCCGGGAATGTCCCACTGGGAATGTCACCCCAGGAATGTCCCCCAAGGAATGTCCCACCGGGAATATCACCCCAGGAATGTCCCACCAGGAATGTCACCCCAGGAATGTCCCCCAAGGAATGTCCCACCAGGAATGTCACCCCAGGAATGTGCCCCCAGGAATGTCCCACCAGGAATGTCCTTCCTGCTGGGATGCGCCGCCGGGCACCTGGCACCGGGCTCCCTTCACGCCTGGCCGCTCGTTCCGTTCCGCTCCGCCCGGGGCGGGCGGCTGGGGAAGTGCGCAGCCTGCGCAGCTCACCTGCATCCTCACCTGCCCCTCGTGCCCTCACCTGTCCCCTCGTGCCCTCACCTGTCCCCTCGTGCCCTCACCTGGCCCCTCGTGCCCTCACCTGGCCCCTCGTGCCCTCACCTGGCTCCCTGCACACCCGGATTCACTCCCTGTGCCCTCACCTGGTTCCTGCTTCCCTCCCTTCCTCACCTGGCTCCTCGTACCCTCACCTGCACGCCCGGATTCACTCCCTGTGTCCTCACCTGGCTCCTTCCACCCTCACCTGGCTCCCTGCACGCCTGGATTCAGTCCCCTCCTCTTATCCCCGGATTCCCGGTGCTGGGGTGACCCCGGCCCCACTCACCCCGCGGATTTGGGGACACGCTCCCCGCTCTCCCCACTCACCCCGCGGATTTGGGGACACGCTCCCCGCTCTCCCCACTCACCCA